TATATATATATATATATATATATGGCTGCTGATTAACCTCCTCTCTCGGACAGGTTCGTCCAACCCTTGTCCGATTGCCTTTAATTAAATCGACCGTGTCCGTGTCCGTGTCCGTGTCCGTCACGAGCACGTGCGACCAGCACACGTCGTGACGCCAGGCGTCCACCTGGACCCGTAGATCGTAAATGTTTCATTCAACTTTCCCAACAAACTTATTTATTCCAATACGCGAACCTCGTTAAGTCCGACGACTTAACGAATTTCATGAAATTCCTGATATTTCCACGCTGACGTTTCCTGATATCGTTGAAGTTTTCTGAATATAATACTCGCGACCAGCGAATGAATTTCGGTATATTGAATTATTTGGATAGTCGGTATAATTATCAACCCGAGAAAGGGTAGGTAAACACGTTACCGGCAGTTTGGTGTTAGATGCAATTTCCACTATTTCGAGCCTCGATCTATTTCAACCACGTGGAATATTGATGTTCATCGTCCAAGATTCCTTCCGTCCTATCCCCCACCTCGAATGGGACGACGCGTTTCCAATAAACGTGTGGCCGTATCTGATGGAAACCCGGCCGAAAATACCGCAATTTATACCGGTCTGACCTACAATGTTCCCTTACTCCTTGATCACGGTCAACGAGAAAGCAACCTTCCTTACCGATCACGAATACTCTTTAAAAAAAAAAAAAGAAAAAAAAAAGGGAAAATCCGCATAACGAACACGAGTGCAACACGAGATCATCATGGTGGAGGGAGAAAAAAAAGAAAACGTTGTTTCGAGGAAGGAGCAAAAAAAAAAAAAAAAAAAAGTGCAGTGAAACGGATCGGTGAAGTTAATTAAGGCCACTCGAAAAAAAAAAAAAAAGAAAAATCTGCAACCACCGATTCTCGAGTGGGTATTTAATGGTTTGGTGGGTATTGCAAATAACGACCGAACGAGGAAATAGGAATAATAGAAAATGAAAGGGAGCTTCCTCTCGATAAGGTTTTAACACTTAACTCACTTTTGTCGATTTTCCATCGGTCCAATCGGCCCGACGAAATGAAGGGGGGGAGGGGGGGGAGAAGGCAGAGTACGAATATCCGCGTATTGAATATCCGACTGGAGAAATCGCTGATTTTTCATTCGATCGACAAGATGTAATTTAATTGTTCCCTGCATCGTTTCCAATAACCTCCCCTCCCACTCCCCCCTCGGTACGGTATCTATCGTAGTAGGAGAGGAGGAGCCACGACGCGCGTGATTAAATACCGTTTCCAAAGAGGGAGCAGGCATTCGCTCGGTTCCACAACGTATTCTCCGTTCGATCACAGGTAATTTTAAGAAGCTTACTGCATAAGAGGATCAGCGAGGACTTGGCTACGATGTAGTTACAGACATTCTACTCGCCAGGGCTAGCAAGAGTTTTGTCTCGCGTCTCTCGATTGGTTCTCTCGTCTTCGAGACGATGTTCTTGGGAATAGGTTGCACGAGAAGCACATTGAACGTCGGTGTTTTGGACCGCCAGATGGCGGGATTAAGTAGCCTGGCCGCGTATGTAGTCAGACGTGCGTAGATCTCACACACTGTTAGGTTCGTACGGTGTGTTTCGGGGATTTTTGCGATAACGTTTATCAACATTGTCAGTGTGAAACTGTCTGACTAATTAGACTGTGAATTTATGTTTCACTAAAAGTACAAATGGGGAAAAAAAAAAAATTTGTTTCGTTATTTTAAGTATTTTACACATCTCGTGTCCTGTCCTTAAACTTTCCAAGAATGTGTAAAAGTCCGCGGTCGTGATTGAAATCCACGAATTCTATCAAGCTCTGCGAGCCTGACGTCGAATATTTGAAACCTCGCGCGCGAAATT